ATCAATCAATCAATCAAACCCGTTGTCAGTATAATGTGACCGGGCGGAATGCTGTGCTTGGTGCCTTCGGCATGGTATTTCAGTGAGATAGCACTATACAGTTGGCATCAGATCCGCGCTATCACGAGGAGGCAAGTACAACATATCCTGTCTCCGGCACACAACACACACGGAGACACGTCTTTAAATGACCTTAGCTGTTAATAGGACGTTAAAAATATAAAACCAAACCAAACTGGCAACAGACGACATTAAAGTTTACCCTGAACGTTTTGCTATATCAATCTATGATAATACTTCATATTATATGAAAAATATAATACAAGGCTAAGAAAGTGCGAACGTCGTAGTTGACTCCGTTTCCGAGATATTGCGGTTTATCTGAAAAACACACCTTTGGCTCAGCGGCGATCGCCTCGATATGGGTAACCCACATCTGTGACGTCACCAGTTCAACGCTGTCAAAACCTTCGACCGTGCGTTCGTTATGTGAGCTTTTTAGCTACTTATATGATATATTCCGTCATCACTTACTTGTGTAGAAAATATTTAAAGACTACATACATATAGATGTGTTTTTTACAATTTTAATGAAGAAATGATGTGTGGTTTTTTATGCATAACTGGTTAATCTAGTGACTTTAAATAATATACTCTTTATTATTAAATTGGTCTTTAGAAAATTTGATGAACACCTGTATACAACACAAAACAATTGATTAAAAATTGAGTCAAATTAATGTAAGCACACCGCACCCCTTTCTTTGCAATATGTAGATTGGAATTGACAAAAATTGCACCGGTACAATAATTTATACTCAAAATGAGCAGCAACCCGTGGTTTCTTTTGTTTTTTTTTACTTTTACTCCCAGTCATAAAACTTGAAACGTTTTATTCTTTATGCGATCCAAGGAATTTAGCACAGGATAAATATACAAACCACTTCTAAGAGTAGTGCAGGGGGAGAATCTGTCCGTTAAAGTGTCACAAATTCAGGGTTGTTACGTGAACAATGTTCACGATAAATTTCCTATGCGGCTGTATCTGTACACTAGCGTAGATTATTTTTGTCTTATTCAAACTTTCTGATTTGCCTTTATGTTGCGAACAACATGTTTTAATTGTATGTTCAATCAACATCACGTAATATTTTAAGAGACGGCAATTTTGTTGTTTGAATATATGTGAATGTGCAATTGAAACTTAACTTCTTGAAAAGGTAGCGAATCGCGTCTTTCCTGCTAGCCAGGGTTGTTACGAACACTGTTCACGATAAGTTTCCTATGCGGCTGTAGTGTTTCAGCGTTTAATTTCTATCGTTTTAAACTTCCCATCTCTTTATAAGTATACAACATCCAAAACTCCGTACCCACGATTGCTGTTTACCTGAGAAATTAAAGCGTATAAAAGGCTGATTAGATAATTTCACATCTTATTATCTGTAACGGTTTCTCTTCGGTGTCAAAATGGATGAACTTAAAGAGTTATATAGTGAATCATATCTTCTTGTGTGTCGTTCTATGTCACTACCAGTTTTTCATCTGCATATATGTGAAAACCTTGCACCAAGTATATGACACAGCGTAGCCGTGGTTATTTAATGAACAATGGCCGTGTGCTTTATTGTACTTACGAAATGTCTGTTATTTTATTTTCATTTGATTCATTCTAACTTTTGACAGGGAATTGTAAGCTGGATGAGTAGATATTTAAAACCTACAAAAATGATTTTCTTTTAAAAAAAGTGAGAGTGCAGCAGGGTGACAGAAATATTGACACGTGTTACAGTAATGAGTACCTATCGGTTTAACCCACTACACCACCGCATTAGATGTTACATTAGCGTAGATTCTTTTTGTCTTATTCAAACTTTCTGATTTGCCTTTATGTTGCGAACAACATGTTTTAATTGTATGTTCAATTAACATCACGTAATATTTTAGAGACGGCAATTTTGTTGTTTGAATCAGAGACGTATAATACATAATAATATGTATTATACGTCTCTGTTAAAGGGTAGCGAAGCGCGTGTTTCCTGCTAGCCAGCTTAAAGCTGAGTAATTTATCAATAAACCACCTGATCAGATATATAATGTGCATAGCATGGTCCAGCATTATTTGCCTCGTTTCTGACTTTCATCTGTCGAGTGATGCAGTTGTACTGATTGTGGTTTGCATATAATGTGACTCTGTGACAGTACTTACGCATTTCATTTATTAATATTTTTCTTGAAATTGATCCTTATACCAACGTANGACGACTCCAAACCACCCCCGAGGGAAGGCAACTTCCCTCACGCCGACAGAACACTGACTTCCGTCAGTGAGATGAAACCCGTAAGGGCGGATTCATGTAGGCGCGAAACCCGTCATCCATCCATCCATCCTCCTGCTGTCAGTACTGGACACATGCATTTAGTGTTATTTACCTTGTACACAAAAGTATGCTAAGGTAGTGGATCGAGATGATTTTCATTATTTAACCACGGACTTAGATCTAATTCCGTGATTTAACCAAGATGTAAAATTATAACTTGTGTATTCTACATGTATAGGGAGAAACAAAAATGTTTGAATCTCATAATTCAATTATATTTTTGAGATAAAGATTATATAAGTCCGTGATCTTATTTAGCATCACACACATAGGTACTGTATTGTATACAATTAAATGTGTAACTGTCGGTATTTTGCTGTTTGTTGTCGAATTGTCGTAACTAAATATATTGACGTTTAAAAACAGCAGACACCAACGTCTAAGTTATTTTGTAAACATTTTTCACTGATATATTTCCGTATTTTTGGACCGTAGAGTTACCACAGTTTATAGCTTTGCAAGATAAATATTCCGGCACAGAAACTGGTCACGAAGTTGTGCTGTTCAATGACGACATGATTTGATAGGTTTTTACTGTAAAGCAGAGACATACATGTATGAAGTATATACGTCTCTATGTAAAGGAAAGAAACTCATTGCAAACTGACTTTCCAGCTAAAATATCTTTGATCGACAACATTGAGACTATTTCTGTTTAATTTCCCTCAAACTCGTTTATCGTTTAATACGACCATGGGCGGATTGGTCGAGTGGTTAACACTCCAGCCTTCCAAGCAGGCGGCCGGGGTTCGATCCCCAAAGTCGCCGTACGCATGGAATATTAGAGAAAGTGTTTTTCTCCTGCCTACACAACTCCAACATCCCAGGTGGAGTATAAAATGGTCTGGGGTGGGTGTTGCGGTATCTGTGCTGCAGCATTCAAGTGAGGTGGCACTATAAATGATACAGTTGGAAGCACTGTCCCACTACAAACAGAACACAATACATCTCCAGCACACACACAGGCATTCACATATAGGGAG